ATCCTCCTCCTGTTCTTTCCAGCCGCAGGGGCGTGATGGACGAATAATACGAACGAATTGCGAAGCTTCTAAAATGCTTCACTTCTGATTTTCTTTGAATTTTACTCTGAATCTTGGCGTGATTAATAAGTACCATCGAATTCCCGCGTAAGCTTGGGACACGCAGCAATCTTGGTATTGTGACAAAACTATAGTCTAGTTTATTGTGAAATTCAGATTAAAAGTAAGTACTGTCATCTAATTTTTTATACGTGAACTAAAGTCTAATACTGATACACAGTTTCAATTTTGAGAAAAATGGCACTTTGTGTTGGATTCTGCATTTCGGACACGCCACCGTTGTCAGGTTTTAAACCATTCGGATTTTTTTTTCCATTAGGTCCGAAAGGTTTATTGGGAAGATTTTGTGTTCTCCAGTTAACTTTCGACCTATATTATACTGTCTTTTCTTGTAGATTTTTGTTTTGATAAATAAGTGGAGTTTAGTGCATGGACACAGAAAATTGCGGTTTTGGAGAAATGTCCACATAATTTAAGGATTTTGCTCGAACTGTATAGATAATAAGTCCATAATAAAAAGTTTATACTACTTAAAAGTTTAGACTAAATAGTCGTTGAAAAACCAAATACAAAGACACGACCCAAGCACATAGAAAAATTCGTGATGTCCGTTGGTTCGTTTCGTGGCTTAGTTGGTATAGCGTCTGGCACAGTATGCAAGAAGACGTCGGTTCGAATCTGACCGGATCGAAGGAATTTTTTCTGAGTGTTCGATCTTTGTATTAATAATTATAACAAACTAGTGGAGTAATTTCACAAAAAATAATTAAATAACAATTCAATAAAATTTTAATTAAAAAGTTTATTATTATTAGAAAAAGTTCTGCATAAATCTCGTACATCAAGAGAACAAGAGAAGATCTTGATGTGTTAGCCATTTGGCTTTTTGCGCATTTGGTCGAATTTAATCACTATTTGTATTTGTAAAAGTGAAAGGAAACTAATTTGCTTCTCCGCGAACCCGGTGGGGTGCAAAATAGCTGTGCTCCTGTTGAATATTTTTTTCATGCAGTTAATTGTACCTCATTCGCTCCGCATAACATAAATAACACAAACGCAACTTGGACTTCCGCTAAGTAACGCTTGAATCTATTAATTACTATTTATATTTAATATTGTTAGTCTTTTCAATCCGACTGTATTTTTTTATGTGTATATTACGCGATTACACGATTACGGCATTTGTGACCGTTTTTGATAATTGGTTTTTGTTGGAAAGAGGGTACATTTGCAAAGTTGAAAGTCGGTTCCTTTTTTTCTATTAAAGAGTATGTTTTTTATTCAATTAAAAGATAGTTTTATTACTTCATAATATACGATCTGATGTCTCGTGGTAAGATAATAAACCGTCATTTTATTTTATTTATTCTTACTATGTAGCAGTGACTAACAGTGACAGTTGCTTTGTGACACAACAGTTAATTATTTACAGAATATTTTATCCCGTGAGCGGAGCATTACCGTAGTACTTACTACCTACGTGGCAGCTGTTCATCACTCGGAAACGTCACGAATGGAGCACCGAAGAGAAATGTTCTTAATAAAATCCATTTGGACGCATGACTCGGCACTCGACCCTTCTTTTGTTTATTACAAGAATCGCGAAAATGTTACTTAACCAACTTGTCTTACAATATTATATTGTATTTCATACCCTTGGCAATGATAAAGCCTCATGTGATCATTGTATGTCAAAAAGGGTTTCGACCACATAAAAGTCATAAAAATAAAACGAGCTATGTGCATGAAACAAATTACGTAGAAATACATGTGACATCTTGTAATTCTCCTATAAAAGCATCAAATAGTTATCGATTAATTTTGTTCGCAGAACCATTACTCCTCTCCTGATAAATTGTGTTATGCACATTATTTGAGGCCTTATTATAAATAGAGGTGAGATTTATTGTCAACTACAACGTAATAAGATTTCATCCGCCCGCTCAAGCTTAACGAGAACTTTTCCCACTAGTAGTATGGTGGGTATTTTAAGTCCCTACCGTACTACCAAATCGTAGCCCGAGCAGCACACCCATATCTAAATATATTGTAATTGTCAGTTAGTTCATACTTTATTTTGTCTACATCTATTCCTTTAAAATTTGTCAGTACTAATTCAGCACGGAATACGAGTAAACACGCGTATTCCATTCAATTAATCGATTCTAAATAGAATAATTTTTGTTCAAGTATATTTGTTGATTACAAGTAGTCGTAATAATAGTATAATAGAAAAATACTAGAATAAGATAGTTAAGTCCTTTATTTTACTTGCTTTTTTAAAATGTTTATTACTTGTAAAAATTAAGACTTTAATGTTTTATCGACTTCAATTATTGAAATTATAGTTCATCCAGTGAAATGAGCTTATTACATAACATCTTTTTGTAATAGAACATCTTATCGATTAACTTAAATAATGAATACGCACGTCAATGTATGAACTTGCGACTGCCTTCATTAATTTTACTAGATGGTTTTCTGTTGGTAATTGATCAAATTGATGAATACCAAGACAAGTGAAAATGTTACTGCTGACAAAATATGGTATAATCTTATTAATCAGAGGAGGTTTACTTTATGACGGCCTCGTGTGAAATTTTTGTGATTTCTTTATTATTTCTCGGATTTCTAACTCTGCTACTCTGTATATTTGGATAGCATTAGGTGGAATAAACTAGACCACCTTCGTCGTGTTGCCTAACGTAGGTATCACTAAATGTTAAATTTGGCCAAAAAAATATACAAGCGACCGTACGACGAAACTGAATGCATTATATAAAAGTGCGTTCGTTCGATACTCATGGCGTATATAACATATAACAAAGGATCACAAATATATCACACCAAGTAAAAGTCGCAATGTATTACAAAGCATGAGGCATACACTCGGTTGCATATTTGTTTTCTCGAAATTCGTACAAAACCAAAATAATTATTTTTAAAATAAATGATGCATCTTCTGATTACAAAATCACTTGCCCGTGGAAGGAAACGTCCCTGTTTACCCGTTTACCCACAGTTAAGGTGCTTTTGCAGTTTATAATGGCACAATTACGCATTTTTCGCGTTTTCGACTGGTGTTTATCTACGATAACGGTCGAGCGCGTTCTGAAGTGTGTGTGTGTGCAGCGGCAAGTAAGTGAATTTCACTTACTTTGGGCACGCGAAGTACGTACACTTGCGGCGTCTATCTAGATATATATATGTCTGTGCTGTAATGCAACTAAAATATAATGTAACAACCCTACGCATCGCGCGAAGTGTAGGCATTTACACGCTGCACAGGCGGGAATTTTCCTACTTGCTCTTATTATGCTATGGTAGCACTCAATAAGTTTCTCCATACTAAATAAATCTCGGTTAGACCCGTGTGTATATTGTGATCTCGTGTATAAGGAGATAATTGCTGTACATTGTTGTCAATTAGTGCCGTGCAGTAAAATTTATGGAATATATAATTTTACAACACAACTTTTTTTTTGTGTTTCGAAATTCGAAATTTAAAAAATTAAATACAATACGGAGACAAACTCGTGTCAAAGCTCAATGCAAAACAAAGCAGTTTCGAATTGACGACATATTAAGTAAACATTTTTAATTTCGTTTTATTAAAACTTTTTAATCAACTACCCCTTGCAATACTAGTTATAAATCTAAAAACTTATAGGTCCGGCTCGCATTTGATTGTATTTTTACGATAATGAATTGAGATTTGACCTCACTATTTTGTGATCTGTCAAAACGGCCATCACAGCGTGCCGGTACTGAGATAATTTGTGCCGAAGATTATACTGACCGAAATCTGAATAGGTAACATGTAAAGCGATTCGGGGGTTTCTTACAGTATGAAGTATGATAAAACAATTAACATTTTTTTAAATACAACAAATATAAAGTTTCTTTAGACTCGAGAACACAGGGCGGGTACGGATAGTAACTGCGAGTAACAACAGCCTGGAAAATATTTTTTTTATGTAAGCCCCTTCTCTCAATCGCCTTACCACTTGTATTTAATTTTAATTATATAATTATAATAGTTTTAAACACTGACCACATAAGTACTAGTAATTAAAGAAGTCAGTAATGGTTTAAAATTAGTAAACATACAGGACAAAAACTAAAAACAAAACTATTAACAGCACAGGGAATGCGTCCAATTATCTATTGATCGGAGATTGTTCGAAGTCAATGCAATATACGCGCTTACCTCTTCTGTAATTAGGTACTTTTGTTAACAAAAATATTTTTAGGTTTTTTTTATATCGATTGACGGGACAAATAAGTCGTACAAGCCTGATGGTAAGCTACACGCCTGTCCATAACAGTTGCAGCGCCACTCAAAGCTCCAAATCGAAAAGATCTGAGGGGCAAGGCCACAATGCCCGTAATCCTGATGCATAAGTTGACAAATCTCATGTGCCTGAATTTCACCAGTGCCCTTACATTTCAAAAGAGGAACGCAATAATGCTCACATCACTGTTTGGCGACTTTCTCAAGTTTCTTCACATCACTTTCACAAGGAACTCTACTGCTACTAAGTAAGTGATTAAGACTTATGCGTCATATCCTTTTATTGGTACAAAGATGTATATCGTTGGTTTTATTTAGGAGTAACTGCGCAAGTGATTTCAGACATGCATCAAACAGACAAAAAAATACACGATGTTGTAAATAACACTGACTTTTTTTAAAGTACTGCCGCGCGGTCGCCAAGCGGAATCCGCGACGGTCTAACTGTCATGGCAAAATACGCTCTATTTATTTAACTTTTACGTTTTAACTGAAATGAGCGTCCCGGACACGCGGGCGAGTCCAGTTTGAATTTGGCGCACGCGGTGCGATAACTTCGCCTCGTGTAACTGGGCGCTAATAGTTTTATTATAGACATGTTTTTGTTTTAACAGTTTTATTATAGACATGTTTTTGTTTTGCTTACCAGTAGGAATGGACAGGTCAATAGCCATGCGCGGCTTCCAAAAAAACGTTCCTGGAATGGCGGACTGGAACAAGAATAATATCTACTGAAACTATAAATTTTTACGGGTATACTAAAACGCTAACTAAAGACGAGGAACTTTGAAATGTTCAGCATTAATCAGGTGTTCATCATTTATCGCCAAACTCAAACACTGAGATGGATGTTCACAAATTCACGTAGAACTACTATTTGTTCTGAGGTCAAGTCAAGATAGTTGAGACTGATTGATGAGCTTATTGCAAGTTCGTACTCGTACAATCAAGTTAATATCCGTAACTCAAATAAAATACCTTGGCCACAGGAACCAGAGCCAAAGTAAATAATATTAACACCGTACTTTTCTCCATTTGGAAAAGTTTACGAGATCTTCTGAGGGAAATTCGATACATAATGAATGATTTTGTGTGAACTTAGCTCGTGATAATATTGTAACAACAATTTTTTTACACATCCGAAGTTTGTATCAACAGTTTAAAACAAAGACGTAAACATTATGATCATGGCACTCAAAAGTATTTGAGTAATTGGTAGCATTTATACACAATCTTGAGTTTTGTTCACTACTAGGCAGTCGCGGCAATGCCAAAGAGGAAGTTATGTACTTATGTATACCGATCACAAGATAGATAATTTGACCTTTGTACGTACCTACCTACAACGACACATTAAACAAAATACATAGAACGCAATAAAAATATAACAAGGGTAAATACTTGACTCATCTATATATATGTGGTCTTATCCCTTTCGTACTGTGTCAAGAGCTTCCGGATATTTTGGAAATAACCCCGTGTAACATAAGCAAAGGTGTATCTCCACACTATATTGCTGTGGTTCAGTATTCGCGCAGATCTAAATTCAGTTATTTGAAATACATATCGCTCAGTACCCGAACTGAACCATAACAATATTTTAAGATTTGATCCTTGTTGTTCATCATCATCATGGTACCTATAAACTTGTCTAAGCGTATGCGTATAAGTAGTATTATTGAAAGAAAAGTCAAGCGCAAACAGGTGAGCACCGCGATTTGCGGTGTTTAGCAGGAGGCGGTGAGCAGGCGAACTACGAAAGGGCGCGATGGGCGCTATCACCCGCCACCAGACTGCCGCATCGATCTGCCCCGCCCGTCGTGTCGTCGCTATTTGCGCGCACTTCACTTCACCAACCAGCACTCAGCTCACTTCACGACGTTCGCTTTACGCATGGAAAGTACGTTCTATACTGCTGTATTGTTTAGCTGCCCCATTAACAAAACTTACCATTTGACTACAGAATAGTCACCAGACGGAAACAAACCGTGGCATTTAGCGACTATTTACTCGTATATTGTGATATGAAGTCTTTTATTTTTTCTCATTGAACCATTAGACACAGTGATACACATTGTCAATCATAAAATCGAGATTCCTAACAACACAGTGCAAAGCTGACCATATCATTGTGATGATTGTTGTAGTGATTTCCTATTTGTCGCGGTAAATTTAAATTCGTATTATATACATGGAACACATTTGATTGATACTTTTGACAAAATAACCTACAATAATTTTGTTGATGTGTCGAGTGGAAGTGTGACAAAGATAAATTGGTGGAAAGACAATTTTGAACTAAATAACAGTGAAAGCCGTTATTGATAGTTTACCAATTTACCTAAGTTTTAGTCCTTCCCGACAATCATAAGCGGCACCACGTTCCGCCACAGCAAACTACGTTATTCCAACCACTTCTCATCACGAAGTTCGCCGCTAAATGTGCGAGGGCAGTCGGCAAAGGCATCGTCATTGAGCCGCATCGAAGCCTCGCCAAGGCTGGCTGCAGGGTCGGAATGCGGCCGCGGCGGGGCCAACGCGGCCGTATGCGGCGGCGGCGGCGCCCGCCCAGGCTACGGATACGAGGCGCTCTCTGCAGCGAGTGACGGCAGTGAGGCCGATCACGACGAGGGACCCGAATATGCAGCTTTTGAAATGGAATTCTCCGGCGGCGGAGAATCCGCTGAGGGCCCGTCCTCTCGAGGCTCCATCAAAGTAAACTTTCCGCCCGAAGTGGAACTGGAGAGGCGGCCAACGACCACCGCTGCCCTAGCTACGGGTGCCACGTACCATCGAGGCCGTGGGCGATCTATGAGCGCCTGGAGTGACATCAGCCGCTCCAGTATACGCTTTGAAGAAAGGTATGTCTACGAATATTGACTAACTCTAATAACTCGTACCGTAAATTCGTGAAAACTTATCTTGTTATATGTTAAAGGATATTAACATGCGTCAAGGGTACATACATACACATTTTTAGTATAGTGCGTTGGAAAATGAGAAAGTGCTGATTATAGGCGCACAGTTCATGCTATAGAACAGGTCAGTCACTAAAAGAGTAGGGTTTGTTTACAAGGATGCTCTACATACGCTCACCACATTTAATTTATTGGAGGAAATAAAGCGAACGCCATCATGAAACACGCTTGACGCATTGTACCGTATCGGTTCATGCGCATTCGAAGCCGCGTCTGATTTTCTCAAAATCGTAACAGCCTTAGTGAGCCTTTTCGGGTTTCAACTCTACCTCTGATATAATAAGATGACATCGCAATTTTCACTAGCTCTTGTTTTCAATTTCTATTTTATTTATATAGGTAACTGACATTTGTCTCAAAATACATTCCTGTGCAAGAAAAAACCTGTCACCTCTGAATCATTTCAGTACCTTAAGTATTAAGTGTAACGAAATGATAAATTAATGCAACATAGTGAACAAAAAAATTTGATACGATTAAAAAACGTTTGGTATGTAAATTAGCCTTTCTTGGTTTAATTTGTATGGTACGTACTTAATAATTCCAACAAAAAAAGAAGTGACACTTAGCTGACAATTCTGCCCTAGTAACGAAAAAAGGCGCAACTATGCGTACTTTATACAGCAGTTGTGCCCGTTTTCGTTCCGAGAATTGTCCGGCAGAATTGTCCTTTATTAAACAATATTCATAAAAGACAAAAAGAAACTTAGTATCAAGTGCGGCCTACTGTTCCCGAGATGTCTTCTGCAATTCTTCGTGGCACACAATGTATAAGAGTTTTCACGATTTTCTGAGAAATACGTTCAAATTCGGCAGTAATAACAGTTTTAAGCTCTCAGATAGTATGTGGGGCCAGAAAAGAGAAAGCTAACACGTATTTTCAGAATGTCTCGTAGATGCTGAATAGGATTGAAGTCGGGATTTTGGGATCCCGACCTCAGCCAGGTATGCGTCTACTTCTCCTGCTCCGTGTGCTTGAGCATTGTGATCCATGAAGACACCATCAAACGGCTAGTGCTTGTTATATATGAAGAATTAGGAGCCTGATGTATCACACAACACATTGAGAGAGTCGTTTCTCTTGAAAACTAACTCCGTAAGATCTTTATGAAGTTATACCTGCCCAAACCACAACAGACCCGACACAGTACGGCGGGCGTAGTCGCTTCGAAACATATGAGTGCGTAACGATCTTTCAGGTCTTCTTATTACTCCGCGACGTCGGTCCTCACCGAGGCAAAGAGATTCTAGCTCCATCAAAAAATGAAACCCAACTTCAGCTCACACGAGTCCATGTTGTACAAATTTGAGCAAACCTTAATCTGGCTATACGGAGTAGGTAATTTGGACCCCTTTTTTTCACGGGGGGAAAATATTTTAGATACCCCTGAGCCCAAGGAGACTCAGGGGTTATTTGGGGACTCTCCCTCCAGACTGGAGGGCCTACCCCACTAAACAACCGGGTTTACCTCTCGCCGGTTGAGTCGGCGCCGTGGAATCGGTGAACATTCACCACGAAGGTAACTTAGACCCCTAGATGGTTTTCGACTGTGTATTTCAACTAGAAGTATTCTCCCGTCAGTTCACAGGTTATTACTTAAATCTCTCACTTCTTCGATATTGTTTGTGATGTTGTGTAAGTAGACTTCAAATTTCTTAAAACTTGGCTGACGATAATACATCGGTCGTTTGATCTGATCTCCTTTTGAATGAGCCAGTCTCGTGAAACTCAGGTCCCCTGAACGGTAGAATGACAGACACCAAACCATTTTGAAATTGAGTAACGCCTTCTTAAAAAAGGATCTCTGTAGTACAAGCGATTATTGTTTTGTGTGCCATCATAGTAAGGTATAAAATTTATCACGAAAACAAATATTAACAATTGGACAGCAAAATTAAAAAAAAAAATACATTTAATAAACAACACAACATCTAACAGCACAACGCAAATCTTTTTAGTTTTAACTGAATATTTTTTAACAAACTTTTCAAATTTAATGTTTTTAAGTATTGTTATAAAACCTCCTTTTGTATAAGATTTGAATGGTTTTATAGAACAGCTTTAGTTGCCAAAACTGGCAAAAATAAAGGTGAAAATGACGAACGAGGTGGATGAGACCCATTAATAGGATGTTATCATTTGTACAGTTAAATTGTTTGTTAAAATTTGTAATTTATTTTGTGGTACAAGAAAGTGTTTAACATATGTACGGACAACGGCACATCAGACTACACATTTTTGTTCGAAAATCGCCTCCAACGCAACGGAACAAGATACGTCAATGTGTAGCTTGATGTGCTGGCGTGTGTACATGCATAATATATTAAAATTTTACTTAAATATGCTTTGTCATATTTACATATATGTAAATCATGGACAAGGCCATTCAGTGGATTTTATTGTAACACGCATATTTTTTTATTACAGAACTAACCTAATTGCGTTACCTTATACATTTTTTTAAATTAATATCAATTTAGTAATTGGCTTTTTAGTATCGTCTTTTGAACATCATAACCAGCTTGTGACGGCACCACGGTTTTTAGGGTACCTAGTTAGGTAGTATTTGAATAAAACTAAATGGCTAAATCTACTGCTTGCCCGCAATCTGACAGGTTTGGTTTTCACCCTCGATAGAGACATATTACGAAATGGGCATTTCTCCAAAGCCGCAATTTTCTGTGTCCATGCAATAAACTCCGCTTATTTATCAAAACAAAATCCTACAAAAAAAGAGTATATAAAGTCAAAAGCTAACTGAAGAGCACAAAATATTCCCAATAAACATTTCGAACCTAATGGAAAAAATCCGAAATACCTAAAACTGGACAACACAAAAAATCCAACACAAAGTGTCATTTTTTTCAGAATTGAGACCGCATATCAATATTAAACTTTAGTTCACGTATAATAAATTAGATAACAGTACTAATGATCTGAATTTCACAATAAACTAGGTTATAGTTTTATCACAATACCAAGATTGCTGCGTGTCCAAATCTTATGGGGGAATTCGATGGCAGTTACTAATCACCCTACATATCACACGTGAAGCATTTTAGAAGCTTCAAAATTCGTTCGTATTATTCGTCCATCGCCCCCCTGAACAGGTGGATGATTTGTTGCCTTATTTTGGACTTTTTGCGTGTAAATACGTAATTCGATGGATTTGGTCCAGGTTGATATTTTAATTCAGTGTATACGATATTTCAAAACTAAATTTTATGGTTGTAAGTAATATTTTTTATAATATGAGTCGTGACAACTAAAATCTAATAACAATTTATTGGTTTTAGAGGTATTGTCGTATACTAGTAATATAAAAACATATATTTTCTGAGTCCCGTGGCCTTGGTTTCGAGGATTTTATGCCACCGAATTCAGAAAAGCTTCCACCGAAGTTGGGAAAAATTGCCACCGAAGTCATATTTTCTTTGAAAAGCAAGAATTTAATACGTTTCTTCATATAAATGTTAGTTAATATTATTGTTTTCACAATTTTCCAGTTATATCCAATTATAGCTGAAAAAGCGGAAGAAAAGAGTTTAAAATTGCATGAGTTACCGCGTCATGTCATCGTTATGTTGGGGGTTGATGTTGCTCGCTTCCGTAGGTATACCCTCGAGACCTTACAAGAGACTTGCTAAAGAGACTTACAAGAGAGTGGTGCTAAAGAGCAACAACTACTGGTGGTAGGCTTCGGCCGTGGGTAGTTAGCACCCTCCCGACGCAGTCGAGTCGCCAAATGGTTTATCCGTGTTCCGGCTCGAGTTCGGGAGTTGCCATTAGGTGGTTGGGTATGAACAGTTGCATTGCGTCTAACTACGAGTAGTAAGTAGCTTCTTGTACTGCCACACTCAACACTCGGTTCTGGAGGCTAGCGGGATCCGAAGCACGGTGCACCGCTGGCCGACGGTGGCAAGTTGGGGGCCCAATTAGCGGGTAAGCAACCCGTGAAGGGCTGCCCCGCCAACCAAGGAAAAACCCCGGAATGCCGCCTCCACCTTGCCGGTTGGCAACCGGATTGAATAATTTTTTCACAGCGGTTGCACGTCCTCCCATTAAAAGTGCACCTCACCAACATCAGAGGGCTGTATTTGAATATCGAAGGGGTCTACCTACTACCTGGAAACAGGGTCCTAGTGGTACGAGACGGCTGTGGCGATACAGGTTAGCAGATTGGGATGAAATGCGCCATTTTTTATATATATCGTCGAGCTGTGCTGATGCTGTAGTCGAGATCTTGTGTTTAGGTATGGAATATTACATACCTTACTCTGATGTACTCAATGGACCCCAAACTCGTCCTTGGTTTAGCGCTGACTGTAGTCGTGCTGAAGCACAAAAACAGTCGACATACCAAGCTTGGGCAGATGCTCGACTGCGCAAAGCTCCGAGTACTCGGAATCTGAACACAGTTTTTAATAAGGCCGCCAAGAAGTGCAGAAGAATGTTACGCAGGGCAAAGTTTGACCATGTGCGCCGCATAGGAGCCAAACTTGCCTCTTTTCCAGCAGGCAGCTAGTCTTTTTGATCCCTTGCCAAGGCGGTCGAATCAAACTTTTGCCGCCCTTCCTTACCAAGTTCCTTATCAACTGTGTTGAGGTCGGATGGCTCGCTGGCTCATACTGCGAAAGAGAAGACGAATCTGTTTGCTTCAGTCTATTGCAGAAAATTCACGTCTAGATGCCGCAGGGAACCTACCACCTTCTTTACGTCACGCTGGCAGCAGTATGGTGCCAGTTCGCATACGCCAAAAAGAGATACTCAGAACTCTGCGAAGTTTAGACGTGAATGAAGCCAGCGGGCTAGATAGGATTCCAGTAATAGTCCTGCGTAACTATGCGCCAGAGTTGTCTCCTGTTCTCACACGCTTGTATCG